ACCCATTTAGAGGACAGCAACACCAATAAACATGATACTCCACAAAACACCACCCACAAGAACCCCCCGCTGCTGAACTCACAACTTAAAACAAGGCAAGAAGATGCAACAGGCTGAAGCATTCCTGACCAATTCGTTGAGTTATTTTCTTCCATCTAATTTTATACTATGAAATTATAAGGTAAAAACCCAATCGGTGTTGAATTAGTTGATAATCCACGTCGAACACTGTGAGGTCTCATCGTGAATGGTGGCGCAAGATAACAGGGATGGGACAGCTCTGCACCTCATTAAATATTAGAGTGGCATACTGTTTTGCATAAACTTTCAACTTACGCAGCACATGCACGTGGACGCGTAAATACCATGTTAGAATTGAGCAGGATAATTGAAATCAAGTAATCGTCTGTGAACAAACTGTCTACTCAACCTGGCGTATGTAATCGCTACGTTAAAAATTGAGCCGAGTGCCATAGCAAATTAGGTTGGCTGCTAGTCATCAGCTGGAACCTTGGTTTTCGAATATTTCTCTTTTCACCGTCCTTGTGTCCTCCACATACTCCACCGTTTCGCAATTAAATCGGATTATGGAAGTCGAATTATCAAGCAGTCAAAAAACTTCTATAGCCCGGTTGATCAAGTTGGTGTGTCTCATCTCTGTTCCATCCTTATCATTTGTGCTTCAGAACAACCCTAACAGAGCCGTAATAACTTGCCTTGGGCCTGGTGCTTACTCAGCGGCCGTTGCATCTATCGCTGGGATCGGAGCCACAAGTGGATATTTGTGAGAAAGAATTACTGCTTATTGGCTGATTTTGCCTTCATTTCACACAGTTAATATTATTATTTCGCACTTATCTTCAATTTTACCATCCTCAGCTGCCACTTCGTTGCACCGTGACTCATCCGCAGCACTTTTACATATACAAGTGCACATGACTGTATTTAGACAGAATCAAACCTGAATGGATAACAGGTGGTTGCTACCTTGCTGTAATGTATCTCAACAGGATTGTGAACTTGGCTATTTATCCTAATGTACGACTACATATACTGAAATATGAAATGCTATTTAGAAACATCCATTCACACACCGAACACTCATAAGCAACACAACCGAAGAAAGTGCATTGACAATAGGAGACGTCAACCGATTTGGAACCGATAGATGAGCAAGATCAATGATGGTAATCTAGACACGGCTTTGGCTGATTAGAATTGAGAAAATTCATCTACTAAAAACTATGTCAGCAGACATGCAACACGGCTTCGAACGATTGCATATCTCACTTAATGTAAACTGCATCATCATTTTCAAAGGTTTGCTGAGATGGAGAGCTGTGTTACACTGTAACCGTTTTCCATTAGACTACACAACACCCACTCTTGCCTGTGTCAAACTCACTCACCAAACGACTGCCCATTGTGCTCATTAGTCACGGTATTCCGCGCGATCCCCGATTCCACATCCACGCATGCATAAGCGTCCATTGACTAATTACAGGTAAACTAGTTTCATCGGCACTTATTTTTTCCATCGAATGAAATGCACTTAGATGATAATCATACTCGGCACCTGACTATCCCATTGTTTGTGACTAGTTGACTGGCCACGTGCGGTTTGCACGCACATTCTTAATCAAATAATGTAACTGCACGGCTAGTAAACAAGCTAACGCCTTATCGGGTTTATTTTTGACTTTTTTATCGTATAAGTGCTATAAACGGCAATTCTGAGGCAGTAACAACAACACCATTTTCACAAGGCTAATATTTTATTAAACAATATGAAAATAGCCTAAGTCAAATCGGAGGAGAGTGGTAAAAAAACTACATATGCCATATGGCGGAATGTGGTAACCCAGCCTACTTAGCACCAAGTGTGGGCAGTCCCATAACTTCCATCATAGCTTCGAATGTAAGGTAACTAATTGTGACCGAAGGAAGAGTTTTTGACAAACTGGTGAAGAAACCTCTGTAGAGACCGATCGGACCATCGGCTTGTAGGATGCTTCGGAACATACTGACAATCGATGGTGGTCGTGAGCTGGTAGAGGCTTGAAAACGAGTGCGCATTAAGTTCGCTGGATAAATTATGAGCATCGGTATAAATGAGGAACAGAGGATGATGCCAATAGCAACCGGTGTAACCAAGTGGGGCATTGGGTCACCAGGGTGATAATCACAGAAGTATTCCATATAACCACGCTTGAAGAGCTAAAAGGAGACCAAGTGCAGTAAGAATTTTTATATATGAAAAATATGATATCAATGCTATGTGTCATACTTCAAAAAGTGTGAGTTCCATTCCGGCATAGGGAACATAGCTCAGCATACTGATTGCATATCCACGGTAGAAACCACGGAGACCAACCTGGCTGTGAACTAATTTCATACAGGACACTATAGAGTCTGGTTCACCTGTTCTGCGCAACGCCATACGAGTCTTCATAACCTAAACACAAAAAGCGAGTCTTTTCCCAAGTTGATAAGCATCGCAGACAAAACATGAGCGTCTGGCAGCTGACTTAATCTTAACGATGAAGTCCGTCCAAATGTGCAACGAAAGATGGAACGAAAGTCTACTTTAAGCCATGGTTAGGAATTCAAAGCTCCATACTGGCATAGCAACCGAGGAAATCCCTACGAGTCGCAGAGTCCTGGAAATGAGTTCTCAGCTGTACAATGGAAATAGAAAGCAAGACCTTTGATTTCGGGAAAACGCTAGATACATAAATTAACTTAGTCTTACTTCCATGGGGTAGGTGAGCGTGAGAGAACCAGCACCAGCTAGACTTGCAACGAGGAGGCGTTCTGAGGGATGCAATTCTTTTACTCCTGGGAACAGGAGGTCTTTCAGTTTCCCATGAAAGCCAAAACGTAACGCCGTTTCGGGACCATTTTTAAGCACATTGACGCCGTTGCCGCGCCATAAAGACTGCAATCCACCGTCCGCTACCAATGTCCTAAAGCCTACAAGTAGGTAAGGATTAGCTTAAATTATTCAAACCAGCCTATCTGCAAAATGAAAAACTAGACGCGAGACACTCGTGCAAATTTGATCGATAGCTCCAACAGAAGACTTCATTTCAAGGTAGCATCCTGAAGACTCGCAGCAATCATTAGCTATCCACTACACAATGACCACTTATAATTCATGAGGGATCCATGGAGCAACCCCGACAATGCAGCTACCGCCCCTGCAGTCACCACGATACGCTGCCTTAATCAGAGATGGGTGTCAGTTTTACTTGGAACACTTGTTAACCAGCTGAAAACAGCTGAGTGGATCCATGAACAAAGGTAGTGATGACTAGACAATGCTTTAAAAATACTCAGAGGGTTCAGCGAATAAGAGTTGGACGGATTCTGGGACACGATCTGAAGTATAGGCATTGCACTTACAGGCTAGAGCGTCACTATGAGGGACCTCCTGTCGACATCACTAGCAAAACATTATTCACTTAAAGGGAATTCATTCTACCTTATACTTAAATCCGTTTCCCGGAGAAGAATAAAAGTGTACCCTAGCGGTTTCGTCATCCCATTACAAGGCAACACCTAAAACCAAACACATGGCACCGTAACCACTTCGAGGCCTACATGGCAGGATGAAATAAATCCGCTGCGAAACATAAGCATAACACATGAACACCCACAACTAAGACATCATCATATTTTTGGGAGAACAGACTTTAATATGGGAAACAAATTACTTCTGTACATGTTTTGTCCGGCGATATCAGGGACTGCGGCTTGCCGAAGAACCTTGAGTCTATCAATGGGTGCGGTCAATGTCCGCGAAACACAACCGGCAGTGAAACCGGCCAAATAACGTCGCCTATCGACAGACTTGTAAGAGGGAATGTTATCCAAAGGAGTCAGATGTGCGGAAGCGCGATTTGGTTGGGATGACATTGATAGAGTGTTTTTCTTGTGGCCACCCGTCTCCGCTGTGCACTTACTCATGCGTTCTAATAAAATAAGTGGCAAAATTTAAGGCGCACATGAAACTTGGAGCACACAATATTGAAGACACGTGTAACAAACCATCATGAACTGAAAAAGCACAGTCGCCAAATATTTAATTAACTCACAAGAGCAGACAGAAAACATTGCAATTAAGGTTTCAAAATTCGCGAGGGAGGGCTCGGTTAAATTTAACGGCAAATGATTAAGGCGTCTGGATAAAACAACGACTTAAACATGACGGGTGTTTGCGAATGCAGGTAAGTTAACGCTATAATTCATAAGTATACAAGAATCACAGCTGCAAAGAATATTAGTCAACGCGGTATGTGAGCACAACATTGTGTGAAGTATGGAGGAAAACCTGTCTAAATGACCATAAAATCAAAGTTTGCCCAAAATCGGACAAAAATAGGCAAATAAAAGAGCAAGAGATATATCGGAACATTACGCTATGGTGAAATGCACACAAATGAAAGAAGCATATTTCATCGGAATACACCAAATTTGCATCTGTGACGGACAGGATGCACAAAATCAAAGAAAATAGTCATTATAATTAACATAACATTAGTCCTTTGGTCACCTCTCCCCAAAAATGCAGACTCGAACTGCCCCTACATCAAAAATAACTAACAGTTCATTGAGAAACGCTGATTGGCACACAATTCGCCTAGCAATTTGTGGAGAAAACATCCAAAAGTACTCATGATTGTCGCTATTAAACTTACAAAGTGGAAGGTGAAGTATTTAGGCTATAAGGCATCAACTTGTAGGGTGCATCGGCAAACGTGAACAGGACAGGGCGCACCCGAAATGTACGATATACAAACATACAAGTTGCTAGTTCTTATAATCACTTGTTTTCATACTCCATTTAACTATCAAATAAATGACAAGTTAAATAATATAAAAATGTTTTTATACGGAAATTCGATACGTATATTTTCGTATTATAAAACCCTGCAAACTAGGCAGTTTAAACCAATGTGTAATCCCGAGTGAGGCGGGTTTGGTGAAGAGCCCAGTCGTTGCTGCTCCTGTCGTCGTCGGGGCGGTGAATGAGTTTGCAGCCGGCCTGTGCTAGTGGATATGATCCCTTTGACAACTACGGTAGAAGTAACCACTTGAGTGGCACATTACATGAATCCTGCGATTTATCCTCATATCAAAGTGTTGACCCTGCCGGCTCCTCGCTTGACCATCAGCGGCAGTTTCACGTAGCTGTGTCACAACAGGATGAAACAGCCCTTTATTCCAGTTCATTTTTTTCTGACTCGATTCTTCAATCATGTGACAGCATTGCAGATGTTCCTACCCAGCAGTTGACCAGCTACGCAGTGTATAACGTAACAAATTATCATCCTAATCCGAGCCAACCGAACTACACCGGCCCCTATGATACCAAGCAAACTGAATACACTGTTTATGAATTGTCAAACGCAGGTGATTATAGTACCACATCTGCAAAAAATGTTGGCGGTAGCAATGCAGGCACTCTGTACTACGAAAATGCATTGACAAATGTGGACCAAACTGTATATTCAAGCCCACAAAACACAGTTCCCTTAAATGAGGTCCAGTACACCGAAAATTACCCTTCGTGCCAACCCATATCGTATCCTGCATACCGATCAGACGGCTTTTATAATTACGCTTCAGCACAGGAGGTGTCGTCGGCTTCCACATACCCTAACTTGTACAATGCAGGCTGCGGAAATGAGTCTCAGTGCACGTTCGATCATCGAAGCAACTGCCAAGTTCCAGTACAAAATCCAGAATCAATATTCACATCTGCTGAATATTCCCGGCCGCCTCGCTTTGAACCTCATTTAAACCACTTTAATGTTTACCAATCTTCCTATATGGATAGTCAGTCGTCAATGCCAACAGCTTACCCTGAACCTGCATTCTACGTGAATAATCACCTCATGGTATCGTCAAATTGTAACGAGCCACAGGAAACGTACCAGCGCTGTCAACTAAACGTCTATCAACACAATCATGCTACCCAATACGTTGGTCAGTTCAATGAACCGGTTCAGCCTATTTGGCGCGATCAGTCCTCTGGTAGTCAACTGTCACAATGGCCTTTTCAGCCATCGGATTCCTGCGGTTACCCAGAAAAGTCAAATCAAGTTGAGATGTACAATTCTAACCAGTCTTACGCATATGACCAGCAGCCACATACATTCAGTTTCACCGAAGCCTATCCTTCGACTGCACAAACGAATGCACAGGGTTTGCAGACTTTAACAAAGCCAGTTCAAAATTTTGAAAGGGTAAGTTTTCAACTTGTGTTCTATCCTGAAAGCGTTAAGAAAGACTAATCCAATATCTTCGAATTCTAGCCCAGCTCTGCAGCCAAGACTCAAGATCCCGCAATTCGAGAATCAGAACAGGATCAATCTCTCAGTCCGGAATTAGGCGACAACGACGACAGTGCTCCTTCACCTTCTCAACCTGGGTCACCATGTGAACCGGTACACGAGTATGCATGTTCCCATTGTCACAAGCGATTCGATCGGCCTAGTCATCTTGAAATTCACTTTCGTACTCACACGGGAGAGAAGCCATTTCGTTGCCGCATTTGTTCTAAAGCCTTCTCTCAGGCTTCTAATCTACAACGTCATGTCAAGTCTCACAAAACCTGGCCAGGAATGCGCCCGATCGGTGGCAAGATATGCTCTAACCACCTCCTGGTAAAGCCCTCCCGTTCAGTAATGCTAGTAGCGACCAGGGTTCCGGTCGTATCAACTTCTCAAATGCAAACTTACTGCCTTGCGAACAACCATTTTGAATGTGGATTTTGTGGAAAACGGTTTGATGGGTTTCAGAAGTTGCGTTCGCATATGGTGGAACACAATGATGAGAAGGTCTACCAGTGTATTGTATCTTCTTGCTTAAAGACTTTTACGGAGCTCGAGTCCTTCGTGGATCACCTGAATGTGTCCCACGATCTCTCTGATTCTAAGTGGCTGCGCTGTAGCAAATGTGACAAGGAGTTCGAAAGTAAGTACGCGCCGCTTAGACACACCTGTCACCTTGGTGCCACCTTTTAATTTCGGGACTTTGTCTGTCAGCGTAAGTTATTCATTCCATGCGCTCTATTTATAATTTTTCCTTTTGACTAGGTGTTTCAGATTTGCTTGAGCATTATGCATCGAAACGTGGGTATCCTCTGCGTTGTAATCAACAGAAACGTGCACAGACGAAGTTACGGAAGCGCTCGGGCGTGCGACGGATTATGAGTATACATTCAGCTCAATTAAGGTTTATACATTTCCTCTAAGTACTGATTTTATACATAAATGGACGTTCAGTCGTGATCTATTTTTTCAGATGCCCAATTTGCAGACACCGACGATTTGCTCGGTTTGGATTGCTGCGCTTGCACCTGCTCAATGAACATTCCGCAGCCAGTGTGTCCGGAGTGTCCTCAGTCAAGTCTGCACGAATTAAAGCCCTGTACGTTAACTACATTTTTGCTTTCTTCCTTTTTATAAATGACAAATCCGTATCAGATTTTTACTTTTAAATGAGCGTGCAACATGTTTTGTGGAAGACCTCAGTCTACCGGCGTCGTTCTTTATACACTTTACTTGTCACACAAGGCATGTTAAATATTCGAAAGTATAACTCAACTAAAATGTGGTTTCTTGTTGACCATCCTAAAAAGGCATAGCCATCGTTTTTTACGCTAACAGTTAATTGTGCAATGGTATTGGCCCACACTTCGCTTGGATCCTCGTGTATGAACTCCAATTTTAGTCGTTGTTAAGGTATGAATTTAAATATTCGTACTGTACTCCGAACTAGCAGGACCTTGAATTTTACATCATTGACCAGATTTACCTTCACAATACCTTTATGGTTTATTATCATCGGTAATATTTTAAACTCATTACCTTTTGTCACTAGTTTTCGGTGTGATCACCACACTCCTTGTTTAGTGGGATGCCAGTACTGGCTGAAGCAACAACACCAAAAAGGTATATTCACGTGAGTGCGAGGGATTTAATCACAATAAACCGTCTATTGCATTTCATTGCTTCTATCAGGTTTTAAACTAAGCATGATGATTCAGATTGCTTTTGATATGACAATTAGATGTCAATACATCCATTTTACGTGGAATTACCATTAACAACTGAATAAGAGAATGAGTTGCATAAACTGCGTGTCAGTAGATTTTTATGTAAGTGTCCTTGAACGTGATAATACTGCTAGTCTTCTTCCGCATTACATTTTGATGCTGTTGTCAATGGCACCACAAGCTTAATTAGAATCCCTCTTTGCTTAATCTAATTTCCACCAACGGTAGTAACAAAAACCTCACGCTCTACATTTACATTTTTTTTCATTAATAGTAATTGCATGTTAAATAGGCCTAAACCCTGCCATAGATGAGTCATTAGTTGGGTTGTGTACCGTAACGTTTTGCCTTTCGCACAACCGTGAGCTGCCCCTGAGCCCCTTTACTGTGAAGCCATTTAAGAATTCCCCTTCAAACCGTCCACTGAGCATACTGCCTTTGCTGATCAATATCAGAAAATGGGTATTTTCTTTAGTCCTGCTTTTGCAGTGAAGAGAGTGGACAGTTTGACATGAACTAATTTAACGGATTTACTTTCTGTATCGATAAAAAGGAAAAAACCATCCCGTCCGCCACAGCCGGCACAACCTACCGTTGCACTTTCTCAGGATACACTGACAGTTGCAAGTGAACCCACGCAGCCGCCCGAGGACTCTGGTAGTGCGCGACAATTTCAGGGTGCTTCAACGGAGCCCTCTCCAAATTGCCTCAAAGACTTACATGTCCTCCTCGGCACCACCGGTAACCACAAACGAAGCAACAGGCGACGACCAGCCTCTCTTTCCCTCGCTTGTCCTATTTGTGGTCGATTGTTTAAGAAACAAAAGTTTTTCGATGATCACTGCATACTTTGTCAGCAGGCAAGTCGAACTGGCATCACTGCTATCCTCTAATCACGGAGATTCTTCTATATTTTCAATGATTATTTTCTTGGCTTCGCATTGCTGTAGCTTAATGGCAATGTCGTCAGCTTGACCGCTTTGGTTATAAACCACTTTTAGATGGTCTAGTGTAAAATTGGAAAGCAAAGTTAAACTTCTGGGCCTGTGGTGGCTGAGGTGACAACATGTAGGGATTCCCTTGAGCCCCTAGTTTATTAAAGGAGCCTTTCATTTTCACTCTGCTCAACAATTTATTCCTCGTTTCTGCTGACCGATTCTAACAAGAACAATCTAGCTTATTTAATGTAAATCAAGTACGAATGTACTACAATATCCGGGAATTTATTTGTATGATCGACACATTACACTTTGGATGTGACTTTTGCTTCCAAATTATTTTCATGGCCCTGAACTCATCAAGTTTTTTCGTGCAATAATAAAAATTCGTTATTCTTAGCACATTAACCCCGGGGTGCCTAGCGCTGTTTTCTGGATCTTATTTGCTCAGTATGTTTTTCCAGACGACAGTATTAATATAAAACGAGCGCTTTTTTCGACCACTAGAATTAGTCAAACCTAAAACCCACGCTTTTCCTTAGCGATGTTGTTTTGCCGGTTGTCCTTTTCCAATTAAAATTGTGTAACCCGACTATCTCGTTTTTACATAATCAAATCTTCCATCGTAGCCTCCTTACAAAGATTCTAACTACCCAAGTGATATAACAGCACCACGTCCTCACCTTCACTAGAATTTGTTTGTGTTGAAACTTGGAATAGGGCGGTTTTCTAGTCGTGATTGGTGCCGGTATACTGATCTGCTGTTTAGTCTATCACTCAGAATAGCATCACTCACAGTTGATGAAGCACGCTGTATCGTAAAAGTCTGAGCTTGTAATTTGTTATTTAAATAATTTTTCCCTGATAGAAGCAGATCGAGGCCGAACGCCGCCAGCGTTGGCGCTATAACAGACAGTCGCGTTGCTCTGTGACCCCTGAGAGTACATCCGCTGTTCTTCCTCACGAGTCCACATCAAGCAGTGATAGTGCGGCGAGGCGGTCACGTCGCTCCCGGCGTAGCCCTCGTGCATCTCCGACGCATCTTACCACCTAATGGGTAGGCGTTTCTTAGCACACCTTAGACGTCTTTCGTAAATTTTCCTCATTAAGATTTCTACTGCACTCCCCCCCTACTACGCTTCGTTTATATCTACTTTTTAATACCGATATAGCCTTAAAATACACGATTCTGATCTCCTTGTCATCTTTTGGTTTGTTTGTGTCGCCTCTAACTTGAGTAAATGGTTTTGGCTGTTTGCGGTAGTTACGATGTTCCCTTGCAGTGGGGAAACTCGTAATTTAACTTATTGCGCTGAATATGTCGTAGTGAAAAGTTATAATCATAACCTGTGCCAACCTGACGTTGCGTCCTACCAAGTTACAACTTGAACCGTGATCCTTGTAATTGCCGTTTATAAGAATGTGTTGAGAAAGGTAGTGGGTTTATAGATAAGGGTTTGTGTAGGTAGCAATCCTCCTTATGTCGAGAATATGCAATTTGCATCTCTTGCAGTGCACTTCTGTGTTGGCTAGAGCTAAATCATTTTAATAGGATTTCGCCCAACTGGATATATGAACAGATTTACCAAGCCTAGTTCTTTTGAAGATCCGAACATACGAGTACTAGGCGCTTACGTGTCGTACCTCACGTTGTATAAGCTTTGTAATATTAGTAAAATGTACATTCCATGAATTACAGGCTGGCCCAGATGTTAACCATGCCCTAATTATTTAACTTTGCAAATGCAAAGACTTTATTATCACTGAAGGATGTTGCAGCTATATTGTAAGCAATGGTTTAAATTTTGAACATTTACTGCAATATTGTGTCATAAAAATTTGTTCCATTTAGTAGGGCTTAGTTCCCCTCTTGACCGCCTTGTATAACCTTGGCTGTGACGTTGGCGCTTACTTCATTTGCACACGCTTCAGGCTGAAATTACTTAATAGTTGCACTTGTTTCTCGCCTCTCACTTAGGCATCACCATCTATTATTGACGAAAGTGCTCAGATTGATCAAGGTGACGCCAGCGAGACAGCTGAGTCATCCCCTATGCCGCCACTACTTTCCGTCTGGACGGGCCCCTCCCTCCGTTTCGACCTTGTAGCCGAGTGTTCCACGACTCGAGCCCGTGCCTGTAGGCTCTTCTTTCCGTCACATTGTCCCGCGGGTCCCGTCAAGACTCCTGTCTACATGCCCGTGGGTACCCAGGGTACCATCAAGGGAATTACTGTGGGTCAGCTAGAGTCAATCGATTGTCGTCTGCTTCTGGGTAACGCCTACCACCTTGGCCATCGGCCTGGGCCCAAAACGCTAACGCTTGCTGGTGGGCTCCACCACTTTATGTCCTGGCCTCGTGGGATTCTCACCGACTCCGGAGGCTTCCAGATGGTTTCTCTCTCTAAACTCTCCTCCACAGATGAAAACGGAACTCACTTCTGTTCACCTCATGACGGTTCGGAAATGCTCCTCACACCTGAGGAATCGGTGGGACGGATCCAGGCTTCGATCGGGTCGGATATTGTAATGCAGTTGGATCATGTGTTGCATGTTAAGACCACAGGAGAAAATGTGTATGACGCCACTAGAAGGTCTGTGAGATGGTTGGACAGATGCATCGAGGCACATAAACCGCAGCTAGAGAAACAAAACCTCTTTGCAATTACTCAGGGTGCATTGTATGAAGACTTGCGGGAAGAGTGCGTTGGGGAAATGAAGAAACGGAAGGACAAAGTAAATTTTTTAATACGCTGCTGTAACATGCTACTAAGAATTTATTTGGGTACTTTCTGCGCTGTTTCTTGACCAGCTGCCTCAAACACACAATTGTGTTTGTAGTCTCCTGTGTTGTTATTCTACGTCTCTGGATGGAGCTTCCCATACCAAACCGCGTTACGTTCCACTCGGTTTTCGCTCCTTTTTAGTTTATTCTGGATCTAATCTGAATGTAGCAAATTTTCACACTGCCACAACTATTTGCATTTGTAAAAGCCTTAGGTGAAAACCACTTGCTTGTGTTCCTTTGCAGGTACAAGGCTTTGCCATTGGTGGCTTGAGCGGGGGCGAATCGAAGGCCGACTTTTGTCGAACTGTTCACCACTCTACTGGTTTACTGCCTCGTGATAGACCACGCTACTTAATGGGCGTCGGATTCCCTGTCGATTTGATCGTCTGTGTCGCATTAGGCTGTGACATGTTCGATTGTGTTTTCCCAACCAGGACAGCCCGATTCGGTCAGGCATTGGTTAGCTGGGGGCAGGCAAGTTTTGTATTATTCCAATTCATTAGTTTTTTTTTAAAATACATCTCATTTTTATGAAATTAGTTCATGTTTCCACACAAGATATCATAGTGAGTCGAAAATCAACGCTGAAGTTAATGAGGAGTAAGAAATATGCTGCATGTAAATGCGCAAATTCTTTTTTGTCCATAGAAAGCTGCGATAAATGACGTATAGTATAGACCTAAACACATTTAAAATTATTTTGGAACGTTCTCAAGTCTCCATAAAATCACGGACTTTTGATTAAATAGAGGAGGACATCAGTTTGGACCTGGCGCTGCGTCAAACCAAGCGGCAACTTAGTGGATGGGTCGTCGGATAGAAGCCAATTCTCGGTCAAGTCAAATTTTAAAGTTGCACATTCACTAAGACCACGCCGTCACTTTATCAAGACAGATACAAATCTGGATTGGCAACTATTCGTCCGTTTTATTGCAATCGGATCAATTTCAATTGGCTAAACAAAGACCTCTTTTATTCAGCTAAAATTTGTCAGGAGGCAATTAAATAATGGGTGTTTGATTGTCTTCTGGGCTGTGGATATATTTTGCTGCATTTGTAATCGGTATCTTTGTGCGTTTTCTTATTTCAATGCTTAACGCTTTGTTTTAAAGGTCAATCTCCGCCTGGCCGACTATACATACGACTTTCGTGCGATAGAGCCTGGATGTCCGTGTCCGGCGTGCTCGGGCGGCGTGTGCCGTTCCTGGCTTCACGCTGCTTTCGGTGCGCGCCAGCCCTCTGCCGCCTCCTACGTCAGCCTCCACAACTTGACGTACCTTCTAGTTCTCATGCGCCGCGCTAGAGAAGCCATTCTAGCCGATCGCTTCCCGGGCTTCGTTCGAGAATTCTTCCGGTGCCGCTGCAGACCTCCCAAAAGTGACAGTGGCGAGGAAAATGTCTACATCGATGCGGAATACGAATTCGACAAAGTGCCGCCGTGGTGTGTAGAGGCTCTGAAAAAGGTCTCCATTGAACTATGAATATATGTTTGTTTTTGCAACAATGTGACTTTTTGTAAAATACATCCAGGTTTTCGCGCTACGCTTACATTTTTTTATTTTGTTTGGTTTCGTGGGTTAACAACGAACGCTTTGTAAACACAATGGCCCAAATGTAACCAAATCCTGCTTATTACTAAAAATTTTGAATAAACGGAGCGAACATTTATTGCACAATACAACAATACATGTTTAAAATTTGAACCATCACTTACAATGGTTATAAAAGTTGTTCAATTTATCTGCTAATTGTAATAATTGGGGTTTGGTTCACATCTGTAACACTCTATTTTATCCAATGCATTTGTAGATGGCATTCTGTATGGGAGAACTACTTAGTATTCTTACTCCTGAATGGATGGGTTGTGTAATCAGAAATAAGATCTTTTGTGCACGGAAACATTTGTAAGTATGCTGCAATGTCTACACGGAAATAAGAAGTCGAATGCACTTAACTCCAACGGCCTGTGGAGACTGACTAAACTTAATTTGAATTTGACTTTCTTCATGTAAAAGTAAATATTAGAAGTTTACCCGTCAAATGTCAAGGTAGGGGTTGGAGGTATTCTAATGGTCTCTGTAGCCTTTAGGGATGCTGATGCTACGTCAGATTGAAGATGTAGGTAATGTGTGAACAATATCTCTGTTCCGTCATGGTAAAAATATATTTCAATTCTGAAGCCCTTTTGATATTTGTTTGTGGTAGGTAGATTGTTGAATATGCCAAATCACTTAACTACCGGGACATTTATTACTGCTAGGACCGCAGGACGTATGTGTGCTTGCTAAAATATGGATTAGCCCGCTTTATGAGGTGCTACTAAACACCTCACAAAGCGCTTGTGGATCGGGAGTGTCTTATCTCGCTTTCAACCACAACTCCTAGGCCCACTGGACTAGGTTCCACAATTTGTGATGGAGAAGTTATTACGATATTGTTCTGTGACTGTTAAAATTACCTCTTGGATGTTTTGAAGTGTCTTTTTCATGAGTACGTTTAAGTTCCCACATCAAGTGCGTGCTCGTGACGCCCAATCGATCTAGGATCCTCATTGTCACCTCCACTTGTATTCCCGGGTAATAATATCTGTTTAATTCGAATCGTTCTGACGATTTCAAAAAAGAGTATTGCATGAACCCAAGACCCCATGACCTATGAGCCTTTCATTCTTCTAGATGTGAATGCAAGGGCTTAGTGTTTATCACTTTTTACCTTCAATAAACCGATACTTCTCCTTCACATCTGTTGTAAATCACAAGCTAAAGGGGCAGTAGACGTTACTTTGGTGTTTTACTTACCTCAAAAAATCGATAAAACCTTAATCGTTCATTGGTTTTGTCGGTTTTATTGTTTTGGACAGAATTCATCCAGTGATTTTATAGAGGTATCACAGCCTTTTCGGATCATGGTAATTAAGTAGACCAAGTTACCTTTCCCATTTTTCCTTCAGTGAATGGTATCTGGCCAGAGTAAAGCTGTTGTAAAGCGCCCGAAAAAGGCGATGTCGCATCAAGAGTCGCCAGTGCCATCTCAGCACCACACTGTCGCAGATGCCGTCGACCAGGGCCATCGCCCACGACATCGGCCCACTCGTGCCCCCAAGATGACGACGGGCGGATTAACTAAAGATGAGGATGAAAAGCCAGCACATTTCCTTAACAACGACCTTACACTGTTCTTGTTACCGAGCCTTATAGCTTTTCGAATACTAAATTCGTTGATTATAACAACAACTTTCGTGCCCGATGAGGTGTGGCAATCGGTAGAGGTGGCACACAAATGGGTGTACGGGTGAGCGAGTTACTTCACTAGTGCCTCCATAAATCAACTGTCCTTAATAACAGCACTTACTCCTACTAATGTCGACCAAGTCCGTTTGGTCACACACTAATTCTACTACACCACTCGAGCATTAAAGAGCTCTCTTCCTCCACGTTTGCAAACGGAGCCTCTTTTCGGAAAAACTTTCCGGCACGGGCCCTATTATTTCGAAGTTTGTACTCTATTCTTTCCACAAAGTTTCTTTTTCTGATTTGGTAAATGCAAAAGGACGTACTTGACTATCTTTGCATCGATATCTTGGTGATAGAGATTATAAGTGTAATGAGATGCATTTAAACTCAAAGTGGCTTGCAACTTTGCTACCCTTGCAAGTGAAATTGATTACATTTTAGATATGGAGCCCTCACCTGGGAATGGAGTCCCGAGGTGGCGATCCGATCTCCTCTTTATCCCTTGCTATTTGCTGGAATGTACAAACTTATGGCATTTTTCGGCATAGACTCTCGTCAAGCCATTATTCAAGTGCCTCGTCTATTTCATGGCTTTCTGGCTGGTGTGACTGACTATACTGTGTACGAGATGGCCCTGAAGTTGAGTGGCGAAAAATCGGCCAGAGTAAGCTGTTGTCAGTATGACAGGAAACTGCTTACAATGATGCCCCACCGCTACCAGATGTCAAATCTGCGCTCAAATCAGTTTGAGAATCCAAACCGTAGAACGTGTGATCAACTAAATCCTCTATTTTTGGCCAAATTTTATTGAAGGAAGTGTTTTTAAAACAGAAGGCATCTGCATCAACCCTGTCTATCTTTAAATGCCACTGACAAGAGTCTGCATGCTCCACCTTCCGATCTACTCAAATTTCAGACTTTGCCTGTGAAGTATTCTCCTATTTAAAAATGCGGACTTGTAAGACTTGTATGATCTACTAGACGTACTAGTATGCCATGCTAAAGAAATCATCTTTAATATGTTCATCTAAGCTACTCGCTTAACCTTTCTGTCATAGTCGCAACGAATTTTACATATGTGATTTGGAATGGCATTGTTGAACACTCAGCTTTGTGCATGTCCCCACAGCTAAATGGACCGTTGTATTCCTTCAGTGGGTGCTCTTCGCTGAATTGACTAACTGGTTCACTGCATACTGCGCACCACGCAGCCTTAGCAACTCACTCGAATGGGCGCTGCACGCGATGGCCTTCAGGCACTACCCTTGGCCGTCAGTCCCAGGCACTGGCTCGAGTTCTCCCGCGTTCTTTCTGCTTAGCGTCGGCATTTGTGTGGTACTTCGTCCAACGGCTGCCGTTCTTTGGGCACCTGTATGCCTGCACTATCTCTACCAACAGCTGTGAGTTGCGTACCTTTGCATTGCCGTATTCAGCTGACGTAGTCAATCTCCCGTGATGTCCCACGCAGGACTCTCCAGCACGTCACGTGGCCGCGAGAATTTCCGAGGTTTTGACGCCGAGCTCGTTTGACAACCATATAATGGAGGACCTGATTCTTTAATTCAAAAGAAGCCCACTGCTTTTTAATCAAAACGTAAACGAATTCCATTTAAATAGGTTTTGTCTAGCAACTAAATGTTACTGTACTTACCAACAATTTCGACTGGTTTCGACATCACGGTATCTGATCTCATTCCTGTACTGTCCAAATTGTTTGTACCAGATTGTCTAAGTTCACGTTAGGATACGGACTAAAGAAACACCTTTGAATTGCCCAAATGTATGAAGAGGAATGATGTGGATGCTTGTATTTAATGAGAAGTAAATCAAAGGGTACATATTTCATTGCCGTTGACAAAAGCAATTATACACACATTGGTCCCTCGAAGACCTTGACAAAAGCATGGGCAATTCAACCAGTATCTCACATCAAACAAACATGTTATGAGGAGAAACCTTGAATATTTCTTTGGAAATTTCGAAATGATTGCATTGAGGATTGATTGCGGCGGTGGATAACTGAAGACATTAAGGCACAGTTGCGTCACTAAGTTAACTCAGTTTTAGTCAAGGAATGCATCACCATTCCTAGCCAACGCTAATCCGAAAGTTCCAAAACATTTTCAGCCTAGTCATCTACTAAAAATTGATTGCTACAACAAAGTTACATCATCGGATTCTCACTTAACCATTGAGAAGAAGTTCGATTTATACCACTCTTGTGGATGGTTACTCTTCCTTGAAAATCAGCGTCTATAAAGAAGCTTTCTTAACGCAAACAACCAAGCAAAATGTATACTTGTGTGTTTAAGCAAGCAATGTTTTTGCTTTCCGCCTTCCCCACCGTCATAACTACTACTGTCTACAGTTAGTCTTCTTTTTTTTCTATGTATTTGGGCACAGAATGCCACTTTTAATAGCATTGATGAAGTGGCCCTTTTCTTTTTTACATGAATTGTGTTCACGATGGCGTAGATAACCAAGAGATAAGTCGTCGGTTAATGCTGCTGCTTGCGTCTTGCCTCGTGCTATTAAATCCTACCCCGATCGTCTTCGATAAGGAGGATGTTTCGAGTCTGCGAGTTATCTCTCCCCAAAAACCACCTGCCACTGCTGGACATGCGGACGAACCCACGCTAGATGCATCCCCACACACCTCGCTCTGTCGACTTTGCTGAAGGGCACACGTGAATTAAAACGGAAGCCCTTAATTTGCACTGAACTATCATTGAGTCTCTTCTCGCAGTTACTTTTTTTTTACTTCCCCTAACCGATTTGCTCTTTTAATTTACTTGCTGCCCATTTTTCTACTTAGGAGAGTGTCTTCAAGCAAGTTTTGGAAAACACTTCGTCTTGCCATGATCATTGGCATTCCTTGCCTAACTGTTTCAGTTATTGTTGACCGAGTAGTCTTTGGCTGCTGGACTGTAAATCAGCTCAACTTTCTTTGCTTCAATCTCCTCTCAAACGGAGCTGATTTCTACGGCGTTCAGCCTTGGCATTGGTACCTCACAAACAGTCTCCCCTTGACCCTCATGTGTCATCTGCCACTTGCGTTGATCGGCTGGTTGTTTGATGTATTACCTCAACTAAGTAGGATCCAGTGGCTCACAAAATACCGTGACCCCTCAAAACCTCCTCTTTTGAGAAGAGAAAGGATCATCGCAAGACGCATCGGTGTCTGGATTGCATGGATCGTGCTTGCCTATAGGTACAACTCTGTTTAGAATGATGCAGTTTTCATGATGAGGGGTTGATGTATCCACACAACATGATAGCTGGGCCAAAGTAATATTTTCACAAAAAGGTTATTGACACTTATGTGAAGTGCTTTTTTGCGAGGGCATTAAACTACTTATCTGTTGGTGCGCTCTTCTGCCTTTTGCTCAACCTCTCACGGATGTTTCAACCGTCTCATTACCTCATCAATTAATGCTTGACGGGCTACCTGGTCTGTTGCAGTGGATACTTTCACTGCAAACCACTACTACTATTGCGTGGGTACTGAGCGCAGTGGACGGAACGCACTGAGAGTGACATTACCATCATGTCGTAATTTAGGAGAACATAAGCCACTTCTGACTCACTTGACTGTGAATTTTTTTAAAATTATTTCAGCTGTCTAGCACACAAGGAATTTCGTTTCCTTTTCCCTGCGTTCCCCTTGTTCATGTACTACGCTGGTCGTGGTCTGCTTCACCTATCCTACACCTTGAACAAGTTGCGGAAACCCGAGTTTGAGTCCCACTCCTTCTGTTCTCCTATCCGTGTGGTGGTTAGTCTCATCCTGGTCTCGAATCTCCTTCTGGCCTCCTATGTGTGCCTTATTCACCAACGGGGGCCGGATCAGTTGATGTCAGTTTTTGCTAGGCAAGCTGCAGGCGCTAACTGGGCCAACATGCCTACTCAGCCCAGAATTCTTGCGCTCATGCCCTGTCACAGCACGCCTTACTTGAGGTGAGTAACTCAGATAATTGATCGAATTTTGTGGATAACCAGGTACGAGTAGCTTTCTAAACTATCCAGTTTGTCTTTCTGAAAGATTACTGGTCACCCGGTCACCTAAGTACAGACAGAAAGAAATCTCATTAAAACTTCGTATTGCCTCCCGACTATGCATTTCTTCATAATGTTGTGATACCGATACCGAACTTAAAGTTGGTTTAGCGAAAGCCGTGTTCGTTCTAGGTATTCTAGGTTCTGGACGTTCTTAGCTTAATTTTGGCCGAACTGATCATATTTTGATGGCTAGGAGATACTTTCTGACGCAAGATTACCCGTTTAACTTTTCATCGGTTTGTTCCCTCCCAGCCTCAGAGTTAATCTGTCTAAAAAGTTTAGATTCAGATATAATGTCACCGTTCTCTCTTCCCCATTTATGACGATTTTTAGACTTTCGAAAACTTGCCATCACTCTTTTTGTGCTATGCTGCGACGCAAAGAAATGCTCAGAATGATGCTTAGGCGCCAGCAGGCAGCACAGCAGTTGATTCATTTTCAGTAAGGAAAATGATGTGAACACTGGAGGAAACCATGCGAGGCTTTATAGGCCCCAAAATCAATGATTAAACGACTAATCACTTACAATTTTGTTACATAAGCGTCGCACACGTCACGCCTTAATTGCGATCATACCGCAAACGCTGGTAGATTCTGAAGAGTCACTCCTTCGAATGCAGATTCTGCGGTTGTGAAGACGCGCCTTTGGCCTGGAAACCGTGAGTTAAAGTTTTTGGTTGTGTGGCCGGAGGCGGTAGCATCCTCAACCCATGAAGTGAAGTCTCGGATTTGCTTTTATTGCGAACATGAACTTGCTAATTACAAAGGCCGGTCAAGTGTCCTCCATATTTCTTATTTAACTGATGAGTTTCGATTCCACGTTGGATGCATCAGCTGCGAAGAGCAGCGGCGGTAGCAATAGCTCCACTTGTACCCATAATGTCTGGCTGATATTTTCTGTGCGTGCATTAGCCAAGCTCGCGAACAGCCAATGGAGGTGCCTTTAGATTTGACTTGCTGGAAGTCGGCCGGTGGAACCGAATGAGGTTAATTCAGTGCTGATTAGGTTGGTCCCTCCTCGCAGTCATGTTTAGCTTCATTTGCGACAACTTTGCTAACCATTCTTTTGAGGCCTTTGTTTAATTTTTACAAAGAGGTTTTGGTGTATTATGAACGGCAAAATGCGAACGCAACAGAGTGGGCTAAAACGGAATCTGTTGACTTCGTATGAGCTTGAAAATGTGCAGAAACTGTGCCTCAACACGAGCCTTATTGCGCACGGTCTGTGTGGAGAACCCACCCCAAGCAGGGTTTGAAAGTTTGGCGATTTAATGTTGGAAGCAATGGAGACTTGTATTAATCTTTCAGCTACCTCCACCAGAACGTCAGCCTGCGTCTGCTGTCTTGTGACCCGGATTTTTCTGACTGGCACAAAGCCGGTTCCCAGCCCTACGTTGACGAGGCCGATGAGTTCTACAAAGACCCCGTGGGCTGGCTCGGTGCAAATTACCCCACAAGCCGACAGCCACACTACATTGCAATGTTCACAGAGCTCGTGAGTAACCCCGGCTACGGTCAACAGGTTGTGGACTGGCTTCAAGCAAAGTCGTATTCACTCTGCGCAAAGATATTCCACGCCCATTTCGTCTCTCACTCACGACACGGTACTCACATTGTTGTGTGGTGTGCGACAAACTGGAACCTCACTCTCACCGCTGGTGCTCCTGCCGGTCTTGTCTAGGCTTCGTCTCGTGGCCTCCTGCGTCGCCATCTCAACTGAAGCTTTTGCTCATTCCATCTTACTCAAAAGTGCAGAAATGACTGAAATGCATGTTCTAAAGTCGTAAATCATCAGGCGTTTATTTTGTACTTTTCACTAGTTTTCTGGAAAGCATGGGTGTTGCATTGGCTGCCCCTGTGGTTTCTGCTAATTATCCTCGTGCTTGGGATTAATGACCGTGTGCATTTCCCATTTTAGCCTCTGTGCGCCAGACTTTTGTGACACAAATTCAAATCCTGATTTTGTTCAAGCAGAGGCCATTTTCTGTGGGGTTTAGGTTGTGTAAATGTCAGTGATCGCCATCCCTCAGACTACCCATTAGTTCAATGAACGGCCTGTCATTCGACGTTTTGGAAATCCATTCCTGAGTGGGTATCTTCCACTCACAAAAGTGCAGTACGTTTTAAATGAAAACCTACTTGGTGCATTTCAGTAGTAAAAAATAACTGCAAATTTGTTGCCCCTGCTGCCCTGATGACGGCAAGTAGAGATTAGTGAGTTTTGAATTTTCGTCCCAGATTAAAGGAAAATTACATAAATCCTCTTTAAGCTTCATTATACACAACATTGAAGTAGGCTGTCTTGTAATATAAGGGCTCATTTGGACACCCATTCGATTGCTAGACATTTGTTTGGCGTCCCGAAGTGCTGCAGTAAACATTGTAGTGTGTGCGATGCACTCGTCGAACCCAGCCCCACTGCCTCGGCGCTCGCTTCCTCCGCAGTACGCATGCGCTTCCACGTCTGGCGTCCGGTCGTTCTGGGCTCATCCGTCGTTTTACAAAACGCGCTGACCATTAAATTCAGTTTTCAAAGTAACAGATATTTACTATTCAGTAATAAAAACGATTCTACCAACAGTTGATGAATGCTATTACTCTTTGTCGTAAGTTGTGGGTTGGGGTCGGGCTAAAATGACAAAATTCCGACCTGCAGTGAATTTGCCCACTGGCAAGGAAATTCGGCCTTGTGAATCAAATGCCGTCACGAAAAAAGTGTGCAGTCAGGAGTTATGATCGTTGAACCTTTGTTACTGCCACTTCGCAATCCCACCTCATTCTCAAGGATCGGCGCACGATGACATGGTTTGACCCTTTTCAAATAAACTTGTCGACAAAAAAAACAGAAATCGTTTGATGCCTTGTCATATCCTCCTTTTGCAGCCCGCAATATTAGCCACGAGGTGATTGTGACCAGGCTTATCTTAGCCCAGGCCTATACCGTGATTTCGTAAGATAATTCATTATGCATTTTTAAGTGAAGCGAACAGTTATTGGTTTGGGCCCCAGTGAAAATTCCGTTTCTAAGCAGCCCCATGTCCTGTAAGCTCCATTGTCTTTGAAATATTACCGTTCTTGTGTAATCTTTTAAATTAATAACTAATGAACTAGTTACTTCTCCTCTATCTTTGCAGAGATATGCCATTTAAAATAAGTTCACTACGCAGACTAATATTTCGTTATCTTCAACTCAGTATATATTTGGTTAGATGCTGTAGTTTGGGTCAAATAAAGGCGTATAGCCCATTGGATTGAAAGTATGTCAAACGATTTTTATGGTCGTTTAGTTTTGCAATATCGGGTAGCAATCAAATTAACCATCAACTGGCTAGTTAGATAAATGACTTTCACCATCATTTTAGCATCTGATGCCTGCTTCTGCCAAGCTACTCCCAGTACAATAGTAGTGTGAGACCCCAAGGAGATGGAAGCGTGAAGGCACAGGCTGTAGCGATTGAATGAGGCCTTTAACGGAGTGAATGGTGTGGAACTCAAAGCTCCCTAGTTGACTGCTTAATATCAATTGCTGCACCCGGTAGACACACCGCCATGGCTTGATGGCAGCGATTCTTAGCACACAACGCCATTCAAATCTCGATGCATCGACAAACTGACTTGACCAGAATAAAAAGATATCTTTGTTACTGTACTTGCCGACCCAATTGGTTTGAGTCAAAACTTTCCGACTTACTTAGATCCACATTGTCTGCATTTCACTACTAGTGCTGCAGTGCCTTAGGATAAGTATATTTTTGCGTGCTTAAGTGTACGATCCAGTAATTTATGTTTGTTTAAGTAGTGTAGCGGCAAAATGTGAGCTTTCTCATCAGTCCGTACTCCGCGTTAGCGTCTACGTGTGCCAATGTGCCTGCGTCAAGTACAATCTAATATTATTGGTAGTCTGGCACGTGATTGACCTTCAACACTAAAATTAACTCTGAAGCGGCCGTGTGCAAGCATAAACTGTGTATAGCCATTTAACTGTGCCATGTAAATTGTTTTCTAGTGTCCGCGACGGGATTTGAATTTTTCGGAAGTGAATCAAGGTAACTGCTGCAACTCAGGTCAAGGGTTAAAGTTACTTCAGTTACTGCGCAATCTTGAATTACACCGCAATTTTGTGTTGTGTTTAGCTCTAATGTTAATATTGCAGGGTTACTAAGTTCTATTTTGTGCCCAACCAAGCGAATCTGAGGAAAACCAATCACTGCATGTCGCGAAGGTAAAGATCGCATCTTCTCGGGAGGCACCATGGTTTGACTCCTCGACAGTTAACTCAAAGGCATCAAAAGCTGCAAGAACACTCTGTTTGAATCAAAGAGTCTCAAATAAATGCCCAGATAACCTGACCGGAGAATTTTCAAATGGCCTTTGGTGCTTAGTGGATTACTTGGACAGATGAACCTAAGTCCTTGACTTGGAACTCAGTAGGGAAGAATTTTTTTCTAGTTAACTTATTATAGTACGTGTCAGTGAGTTCAAGCATTTATAGGAATCTAATAATGCCAATAAACTAACCATGAAAACTTGCAAGTTTGAACCTTGGTTAAGAAGGAATTCGTGAAAACATCTTAACTTTGCAATGAAGAACCCCAAGTAAAAATAGTTAAAGAACTCGCGTTGTGCTCGAATGCTTTTTAGGTTGCTTTATTCCTGTTGATCAGGCATGGAGCGATTTTGGTCGAAAAGTTTTTTTAATGGAGTACCCTTGACAAGCACAACTGGGACCAAATTCTCTCTTGTCCACGCTAGCACCCCCTTCACCAATTCCCCGGGGGTCCGGAGGTACATTTCACGCACTACCGAGTGGCAAGCCAGGCAGCCTCGTGTCCTGGCTTCCCCTTACCCCTCAGATCCGTGTAAGTGTTGATTAACTATTCAACAGTTGGCTTGAAGAACGGCCACGCTCCGTATGACGCAGAAAATCAACTTTTTGCAAATTCATCGGCTGGACGGTTGGCCTTGTCACTTTTCTCTTTTTTTCATAATATTGTGAAATAAAAACATTAGTTCTTAAATGATCGAGTGTCTGGAATATCCCGAGCTAAAGTAGCAACATCAGTTTTGTTTCGTTGCCTTGGCTCCCAAAAATTAGCGCCAAAAGTCGTTTCTCTTGAGCCCTTATTGCACGCTTGTCACTAGATGGCATTTATATGTATTTGAATACTGATAAACCCCTAAAGATGAGGCGTAATTGTATGCTATCAAAACCTACAACCTTGGTTTTTGGATGCAAATGATAAGTTACAGTAATATTTTAACTCTTAGAAATCTCAGCTAATGTGGATTTGTTAGGTTATGTTGGCACAAATGGCAACGCCAATGTTCTATCATTCCAGCAGTTTCATTGAACAGACTAGAATAGGTGTAGTAATTAATATCCAATAATGAAGCGGTAATGAATGCTAATTAATTCATAAGGGTAAAGTTTTGATAATTTGTTTATCCGAGGGATGAAATAAAAGACGTCCGATGCTGTGAGTGGTCTTCTGCTGAATACAATGCATATCATGTTCGACATGCTCGAATGTGTCGTTATTTACTGTCTTAACAAGACCCACTACTTCCGATGTCGGTGTTGTATACTTCCTTTTGCATTGTACACCACATGGTATATCATGATCACTTGGGACCGCGAAGTGATGCTGGTTTACACAACTCTAAATTGTAACCTGGGCACTGATCACAAAGGCTGTGAAAATGTTAGAACTCTGCAACAACTGATTGATCCTAAGTTTTATAAGTTAATAAAATGCGCTAAATAATTGAGCAAAGTTTCTTAAAGTTTGTTGAAGTTGTTTGTCTGCTTTCTTGATCACGAATAAGGCTTCTAAGCACAATTTGTTGGGACTGAATTGCGTCACAGGACGTCATCATTTTTGTGGAACCCATTCGTGATGTTTTGAAGCGCTGACACTATTGCGCTCTCGGTGGTATGTAACTGTTTTGAGTTTTGGCTGAAACATTCATCCTAATAAACCTTAGCAAGTTTAATTAAGGAAATTTCAACTAAATTTAACGCGGTTTAAAGCTCAGTAGCCATTCATCATTTTTAAATTTCATGAGTGACTTGGACTAAAGGATACTAGCCCAACTCCATAATTTGGTACCGGAGAATGCAGGCAATTTTCGTAATACTTAAACTTGTAAAGGGTAAATAGAGTATTTTAGATAAAACGAATGGTAGATATATTAACTAAAAATTGAGCATATTGTTGAGATGCTAAGTTACCATTTTAGTTAAGGTTTCATTCATTGAGAAATGTTATGAAGGTCACTGATGACACCTCACTCTGACGTTGTGCCTCCTGCCTCTCGAGTACTTCTCAAACATTTGTCAATATCATCATCCTTCATAATGTACCAGGTATTTAAACCTGATAGAATGTGATGCAGTATCCCGAAAGAGTCAGTAACATGGACTTATCTCAGTATATTTTATTTGTGGGTGTTGCCGTAAATAACCGATTTTTAAGAACTGTCTGCAATACACTCACGTGGGTTCGTTTTACATCTTTTTACTACGCTTATATTGTTCCCGCGCACGACTACTGACGCCTTCTCGCAGGACTTTGAGGCCGTCAGTATCTATGAAAAGGCACGCTGAGGTTGTTCATGTTTCTTACACAGAAGCTGCTCTCGTAGTACAACAAGGTGACTGTGTGGCCTTCTCTATCTCAT